ACGAGTGAAACCACATGGCGCTTCCTAGCGTCTCGCGGGTTCTCGCAAATTCTCGGACGCCTTCGACGCCAGTGTTGTTGTTGTATCTCACACGACAAGCATCCCTATGGATTTATTTGAGCTTTTCTTTGGGATTTTAGTAGTTTTGTGACTACAATTTGTAACACATGATGTCTCCAAAGAAGCTGCTTGCTAAAGATAGTGTTGTCAAGAGGAAGAAAGACACAATTACTGTGCATTTAAAGAAGGAAATTATAGCAAAGCATGAGTGTGGTGTCTGTGTGATTGATCTCACAAGGAAGTATGGCAGGTCCTCATCAACAATTTACACCATTAGTAAGGGAATGAGGAGGTAAGGGAGGATGCTGCCTCTTCCACTGAGATCAGGGAAGTGTTTGGAATGTTTGAAAGGGTGAACGCATTCTTGGAAAAGCTGTCCTGATAAAGCAGTGACAACCCGGTGTGTGAAAATGTTTAATTAATTTATCACTTTGTGATAACACTTTATGAAAGTGTTATCACTTTCGCAGGTATATGTCGCTTGAACGTAACACACTTTTTTTCTCTTGAATGCACCCAAACACCACGCTCAAGCGTCATTTGAGCAAATATTTCTATAAAATCCAATTCTTATCCGATCGACTTGGGGATTGTATAAATGTTTGCCATGAAATTTCCGTTTTCTTTAATAACCACATTGCCTATTTGAGAAAACGGCATTGTATTGTATCTTCGTGGTAAGACTATTATATTGTTGACACAACGAGTGTAATCAACGTAGTTTTTTATTTGGTGCTGGTCTAACGCATCCTTGTGTGACATTTGAAATGAAATTTGGGTGAAATTCCCAAGAACAGAGAGTCCGCCTGACTCAGAGGTGGATTCTCCTTCCACACCATAACCCCTCTCATCCTTCCCACCTCCCCATCGTCTCCCTCAAGCCAGCAACTACTCTTCATAAGGTAAAGTAAATATTAAAACACTACAACAAAACATTTATATTTAAATGTGCAATATTATATTTACATAAAAAAAAGTCATACAAGTATGGATGTTTTTGGGAGTGGAACGGATTAAATTTATTTCCTTTATTTTAAATGGGGAAATTTGTTTCCAAAGACGAGTTTTCCAGGTAACGAGCTCGGTGCCAGAACGGATTAAACTCGTTAATAGAGGTTCCACTGTATATATGGCTATGTGTGTGTGTATTTATATTCTGTATATACATTTTCTTTTGGAAGGGGCTTCGGTCCCTTCACTGTTGACGGGGAGCTGGGGGAGGGGGGGGCAGCTTGCTCTGTTGGCTCTCGCATGGTCCCACAGTTCGTGGGCGTTTTTTGGTTGTCTTCCGGCCTCTGGTGGCGTCGGGCGGCTTCTCCCCCTTTGGGGGGTTCAGGGCTGGCAGGGTGGGCTTCTTACCCTGCACTTTGTCATGTCATCTTGGTGGGTGCGTTTCGACGAGGTCGATCCGCCCCATCCTTCCGGGGTTCCCGCCTGTTCTAGTGCAGTCACGGGACTCTGCGAATCTGTGGTTCTTTTGGACTTGTTCAGTTTGCACCCTGGATTCTTTGCCCTTTTCGGAACACTGTTGGGGCTGGGTGCCTGATTGGTGTCCCTGGACCTCCGGGTCTCTTCTTGGCACATTCCTCTTCAGGGTTCCGGGACTGGCACAGTTGGTGGTGGGGCTTCAGGCTTGCCGCTTTTGTTGCCTTCCCTTGTTTGTAATGGGCACTTAGTGGATTTACGCATCTTTACCAAATCTTGGTGACCTGTCTGCGTCTGCTCAGGATTCAGTTTTCTGGCCCACCTCGACAACTGGCTGGTGTGGGCTCCCAGTCGGTCCGCTTGTCTGCTCGCCAGGGGTGTGGTTCTTTTCAGATCACCGGGTTTGGGTTCCTGGTGAACTGGAGGCCGTTCCATCTGGTTCCGTCCCAGGTTCGGACCTGGCTGGGTTTTGTTTAGGACTATTGGACCTCTTCTTTGTCTCTCCCTCTACAGGCATTGCTGTGGCTGCAGTCCCGCCTTCAGCTGTTTCTGAGGGGGTCCTGGGTCACTCGGCGGTTGCTCGAGTGGTTGTGCAGGAGTCTAAACTTCACTGTGCTGGTCTATCTACTGGGTCGGGTTTGGCTTTGGCGTCTGTTTTGGATCCTTCAGGGATTCCCCTTCTGCCTATCTTGCGATCGTTGGGTTTGTCCTCCGGGGACCTTGTGTTGTGCTCCGTCGCCGGCTTTCTCTTTGGGGCTTTCGGGGTTCCGTGCCTTGGCGCCTCATCGAGCCTTCACTCGATGTGTTCACAGACGAGTTGTCTCTTGGCTGGGGCTTTGTGACCAGACGGTGGGGGTCCGTCCTTCCATTAGGCTCACAGCATGGTTCAGGAGTTCGTGGCTGTCTGGTTGAGCTTTGGAGGGTTCGGGTCACTCAGGGCTCTACCATCCGGCTCCATTCAGACTGTTTTCCGGTGGTTCATTGCCAGGACCACAGGGGTTCTCTTCGGTCCTTGCCCTTTGGGGTTGGTCCCTTCAGGTGGCTCGTCTGCTGGATTCTCAGGGTTTGGCTCTCCGTGTGGTTCATGTACAGTGAGTGCCCTACGTCCTGACGAACAGCCTTGGTTCATTCCTCTGTTCACGGATTGGCCAGTCGTAGCCAATTTCCTTGGCTCTACCAGACGTATGGACTCCCAGACATGGACGTCTTCGCGGTCTCGACGTCTCCCATTCTATGAGGCACCCTTCCCCGCCTGCGAGGCGTTCGCGGTGAATGCCTTTTGGCATTCACTGGTCGAGGTGGAGTTATTTGTACCTCTTCCCCCAGTCAAGCTGTTGCTTCGGGTTCTGGCTCGGTTGGAGTCCTTCCCAAGGAGAGTAGTTCTCGTGGCCCTTTGGTGGCCGACCTAGCTTGTTTTCAGACGCTGCTTGATCGATGTCCGAGTCCAAGGCGTTTCCCACGGCTCCGCCTCTTTCGGTAGGTTGGACCGGTCCAGTACGTGGCTGGTTCAGCTTTCTCCTCGGCTCTTCGCGTCTGGTCTTTGATGCGGGTGTATCACCATCTCTATGGTGATCAATTGGCTTTGTTGATGGTGTCCCACCTGTGAGCTTCGTCTCGGCAACAGTATGAAGTTTCCTGGCGTTTCTATTTACCATTTTCTTGCTCTGCGTAGGTTGTCTTCTCTTTCGCATCTTGTTGTCTTGTCCTTTCTTGGTTTTCCGAACCGTTATTGATGCTTCTTACTATCGCCTAGTATCGTGCGGCCCTGGCAGAGCCGCTCCAGCTTACGTTCGGGGTGGACGTCACGTCCGCCCCATTCCATACATTTTCTCGTGCTTTGTTTCACCTCCAGCCTGCTCATGCTCCGCCTGAGCCGTCTTAGTCCTTGGTCAGGGTGTTCTCTTATCTTTCCTCTCCTCGGTTTGTGGTAGCCCCTTCGGTTAAAGATTGTTTTTCAAAGGTCCTATATTTGTTGGCATTGGCCTCTGGGGGTTGGGTCGGGGAGCTTCCGGTTATCCTCCGGCGCAGGGGTTTCTGCTCTTTTGATTCTGGTGGTAGGTTTGTACGTTTGCAGCCTTCTCCTTCTTTTCTGGTAAAGACCGAGACGGCTGCTTTTCAAAGGGGTCCTTGGGTTATTGATGCTTGGTTAGTTCGGCCGGGGGTGCGTCATGTGTTGTGTCCGGTTGCGGCTCTTCGCCGTTACTTGCACGCTGTGGCTGGGGATGCGCTTTGAGTTGATTCGGTTTCCCTTGTTCCCTGTTACAGGGCTCGGATCTCCCAGGTCGACCACAGGGTTAAGTCTAGCCAGCCTGCGGTTTATCCTCGCGCCCGTGTCGTTTGGACGTTTGCAGCTTTCGCTGCCGTGTTTGGTAACGTGATCTTGGTCTCATTTCGGACACAGGGATTTGGAGGTCGTAAAGGTTCCTGGCCGCCTATTATTTTGTGAGCATGTCTGCTCCTGGGCATTATTGTGTTGCTTTGGGTCGCAGGTTGCAGCCTGTTGTCTCGACTTCGTGTTGCAGAGTTTGTGGCAGCCACCTCCCGGGGTCAGCCCTTTCTTTTCCTTCTTTTTGGGTATGAAGCTCCAGGGAGGCTTAGGGGCTCCCCATTGAAAACCAGCGTTGAATTAATAAAATGCCATTTTCTGGGTGAGCCCAGGAGGCTCCCTGGCAACCCTCCCTCCCACAAGTCGGCGTTTTTTTACGTTTGTTGACACTTAGCTTCCGAACTGGAGTGCTATGCAACCAGCGTGGTGAAATCCATCCCCCCCCCCCCATCCTCTTCTCTCAAGGAGTGGAGAGCTGCACGGATGAGCGGCGCGGCAGTAGTGTGCTACGTTTGCTCGTTTGTTTGTTTCCTTGGGATTGTAGGGAGTTCTAACTCTGTTCGGTTTTTGTTGTTAGTTTCTTACCATGTGGGGTTTGTTTTGTTATGCCTTCCTTTCTTGGTGCCTAACCCCAGTCGATGGCAGATAAGGAAAATACCCCAACCACAAGGGGGTTTTCCAGGGCCATTGCTCCCTGAAATCTCTCTGAAGGGGCCAGGTTCTGGCGCTGGTCCCTGGTAGGTCTGAACTCCTTGACTAATGTCCCGGTCTAATATACATATATTAGCCTGCTAAGCTCCAGGGAGCCATAGGGGCTCATCCAGAAAATGGCGTTTCATTACATTCAATGCTGGTTTTTTCTTATATTTTACATCCAAGTTAATCATTCTTTAAGGATAAAATATTTTTAGAATTTCTTTATTTTTTTGCTTCTGGGGCATGCATTTTTGCTTCTGGGGCATGCATTTTTGCTTCTGGGGCATGCATTTTTGCTTCTGGGGCATGCATTTTTGCTTCTGGGGCATGCATTTTTGCTTCTGGGGCATGCATTTTTGCTTCTGGGGCATGCATTTTCACTTCTGGGTATGTATTTTCCAGTTAAAAACTAATAATAATAACTGTAAACTTATTCAACTACCTGCAGATTTTTTGTTACTGTCTAAAAATAATATACAATATGCATTTCCAGTTACCGGTATCCTCGTGGTGAAAGCTATGAAGATCTTGTAGCTCGTCTGGAGCCAGTTATCATGGAGCTGGAACGTCAAGGGAATGTTTTACTTATTGCTCACCAAGCAGTCATGAGGTGTCTTCTAGCTTACTTTCTTGATAAACCTTCTGGTGAGTGAACTACAGTATTTTCTGGGGGGAACACCCCGTGGCTTCCTGAAACTACTATATGCTAAGATGGTACCATCTACCTGGTTGCATCTACTGGTTAGTTCTATAGACCTACCAGGAACCAGTGCCAGAACCTGGCCACTTCACACAGGTGCAGGGAGTGGTGACATTTATGTATTTATGCCACCACTGAGGAAGGCACGCAGAAAGTCAGCAAGACAAAACAGATGACTGCTGGCTACAAATGAGACTGCAGTCTTGAGGTCTGCCGAAAGAACTTCCCCAACAATATAAACAAATGATTTAAATCTCTTAAAACTAGCAAAAGCTTGTTTCCCTCAATTTCCCTGCTCATTTGGGGGGAATGGGGAGATAGTTCCTGGTTCGCCGGCTACTCAACTATCGGTTCTATAAAAGATGTAACCTAGCTAATCAATCAGGCTGTGATTCATATGCCAGGCTGCGAGCAGCTATGTTCAACAGCCTGGTTGACCGACGACAAACCAAGAGGCCTACTCGGAGACCAAGCCACAGGGCCATTGGTTCCCATAACCTCCACAAGGTATCCATGAGGTAGGTAACCCCCACAATGACCTAGAGGGAAGGAGGGTGTCAGGAAGCCACCAGGGCTCACCCAGAAATTGGCATTTTATTACATTCAATAAGTAATGGTAATGTCTTCTCACAGACATAATAACACAGGATAAAAACCCATACTTATGTATTTATGAATTTTATGTAAAGATTTACTCCAAGTGTTTTGCACTCTTGAGTACTTTGTCAAGGTCTGAGTACAGTATATGGTTAGGATGAGACTGACATCTCAACGACTAAACTGAATCAATTAGTCGTTGAGATGTGAGTCTCGTCCTAACCACACACTCAGACCTTAACAAAGCACTCAGGAGAGTGCGAAAGACTTAGTGTAAATCTTTATATAGAATTCACAAATTCATAAGTGTGGGTTTTTATCCTATTACATTCAGTGCTAGTTTTCTGGGGGTGAGCCCTTTGTAGCTCTCTGAAGCTGTCTACCCACAGAGAAGTAAAGCAAATGGGCACTTACCAGGGAGGAGGGAGCACCTCAGGAATTAGGAAAAGGACGAGACTCCCAGCCTCGAGACATAACCCAATTCCATAGAAGAGTGCCGGAGCCTGGGCACGTTGATAAGATACCGGGTTATCAGAACCCTAATTGACCCCCAAAACCCCCACACCCAAATATCAGCCCACGACATATTTGCAAATAAGCCGAGATAGTGGCATATTTCCAAACGTCATGGGCTTAAGGGTAGACTGCAGGCTTGCTAGATTTAATAACACTGCAAACAACCTGAGAGAGACGAGCCTTGAAACAGGGAATTAATGTGAGAGGATCAACCCCACAATGCATCCACTGAGGCAGAATCAGTGGCATGAAGGTAGTGGAAAAGAGCCATTACTTGATACGACACATGATGCACCCCTGGTTGAACCAACCATGCATCAACGATCAGAGGACCCCTCCGGAAGCTAACCCCAGAAATGAAGGAACCAGCTGTAAATGAACAAACTGCCACTAAAGGACCAAAAGGACAAAAGACCCAAAGCCAGAGGAACACATGAATCTCACTCACCTGACAACTGGACTACCTACTACCAACTATCTGTTGATTATGTGTAGGGGAAGAGTGTTGAAGTCTTAGGCCATTTATGTTGATCACATTATCTCTCAGCATGCCTATTGCACCTCTATTTCTGGAAGGGATTTGTGGATCTTCTTGTCAGCTCCACGGAGCTAACCGGGCTGATATGAATGTATTAGACCCCCTGGCATCAATCAATGCACATGGAGTTCTAGGCCGACCGGGGACCACGAGCCAGAACTTCGCCCCCTCACAGAGGTACGAGGAGCAATGGCCTATAGATACCACCGTGTGGTCGGAAGCATTCTATGTCTGCTATCGACCGGGTCAGGCACCCAGAAAGGTAAGTGTCCCAAAACAAACCTCTATTCTGGTTAAAATATTGCTGCTGAAAGCCGAGCTAGTGGACAGAACTCCCCAAGTGATAATGTGCAAATGAGCATGATGTCACCACGTCACCATGCCGCTGTCTGTGCAACCCGGAGCCTCAGACCCCTGTGCCGGCTATCCACACCCCAGTTCTGTGGCTGATGTGAACTGGCAAGGTTATGCCTCTCTGGCTCCTGTATTTTCCAGTTCTGTGCCGTGTGGTGTGGTCCTGTCTGCTAGGTGGTGAGCGAGCCAGGAGTAATTTCACAAGTACTCGGGCTGGATGTGCCTAGGGCCATCTCAGATGGCATCTAGAGATGTCATCTCTCGGCTGGGACTTTGAAACCAGTGCTCATCAGGCCGGCCAGAGATGGTGGGGTGCGTCCTTCCGTCGGGCCCACAGCACGGTGCGGGAGTTTGCAGCTATGTGGATGTCATTTCGGAGGGTTCGGGTCACTTGTGGATTGACGATTTGACTCCATTCAAAAAATTTATTCTGCTAAAATAGCAGTATGAGGACATGTTTAACACCACTAAACAGCATGAAAGTGGAAGATCCGGACAACTTCTTTATGCGTGATATCCAAACCCCCGTAAATATAACTGATATCAACATGAGTGTGGCAGATTTTGAAAGAGAAATTGAAAACATGCCCATGCACTCGGCTCCGGGTCCAGATTCATGGAATACAATATTTATAAAGAAATGCAAGGTGCCAGTAGCACAGGCACTCAATATACTTTGGAAGAAGAGCTTGGACACAGGGGAGATACCAGGTGCGCTTAAATCAGCAGACATAGTCCCTCTACACAAGGGAAGGAGCAAAGCATTTGCTAAGAATTGTAGACCAGTTGCACTAACGTCCCACATAATAAAAGTATTTGAGAGAATAATCAGGTGTCAGGACACTAGTTTCATGGAGACCAATGACCTCCACAACCCAGGCCAACATGGATTTAGAGCAGGAAGATCATGCCTTTCACAGTTACTTGACCATTACAACAAAATCATTGAGGCATTAGAAGAAAAACATAATGCAGATGTGGTATACACGGACTTTGCAAAGGCATTCGATAAATGTGACCATGGAGTGATAGCACACAAAATGAGGTCAATGGGAATAACTGGTAAAGTAGGACACTAGATACTCAGTTTTCTGTCAAACAGTACACAAAGAGTAAAAGTCGCCCATATAAAATCGCGTTCAAGTGCAGTTAAAAGTTCTGTACCTCAGGGTACAGTCCTCTTCCTTATTCTTATATTAGATATAGACTCAAATACAAGTCACAGCTTCATATCATCCTTTGCAGATGACAAAAATCAGCATGAAAATTACCTCTGTTGAAGACATTGAAAAACTACAAACAGATATTAATGATACTAAACACAGACACACTCAGCCGTCTGGTGATTAATAAAGTTTTCGACTGGGCAGCAGACAATAACATGATGTTTAACTGTGGTAAATTCCAGGTACTCAGGTATGGTAAAAATGAGGACCTTAAACATAATACTGTACAGGGTAAAAAACACAATCAAATCTGCCCATAGTGGGAAAACAGCTTGTAAACGTTTTATGAATAATGATGTCTGATGACCTAACGTTTAGGGAGCATAACCAAGCAAACATTGTGTCACCCAGAAAAATGATAGGATGGATTACGAAAACTTTCACATCCAGGGATCCCATCACAATGGCTGTACTCTTTAAATTACTTGTGCTGTCCTGGCTTGAATACTGCTTAATGCTCACTTCTCTCCCTTCAGAGCAGGAGAAATTGCTGAAATAGAGGGAATACAGAGAACATATACGGCATACATAGATGCGATAAAGCACTTACTGGGATAGTCTCAAAGTGCTTCAAATGTACTCACTAGAAAGGAGATGAGAGAGATATCAAATAATATACACATGGAAGATACTGGAGGACCAGGTTCCAAATCTGCACAGTAAAATAACAACGTATTGAAGTGAGTGATATGGAAGAAAATGCAGAATAGAACCAGTGAAGAGCAGAGGTGTAATAAGCACAATCAGAGAACACTGTATAAACATCAGAAGTCCGCGGTTGTTTAACATCCTCCCAGCGAGTATAAGAAATATTGTGGGAACAACCGTGGACATCTTCAAGAGAACTTTAGATAGTTTTCTTCAAGGAGTGCCGGACCAACTGGGCTGTGTTGGATATGTGTGCCTGCGGGCTGCTCCAAGCAACAGCCTGGTGGACCAAACTCTCACAAGTCAAGCCTGGCCTCGGGCTGGGCTTGGAGAGTAGAACTCCCACAACCTCATCAATCAGGTATGAGAAGTCGTTTGAAGATTCTTTCATGGACGAACACAGCATAATGGCAGTGTGCTGTGGCTAGCGCTGTGAACATCTTGAACAGCATTGTGTTTGCTGATATCTGAACATTGACCACAGTCTGTATCACACTCAGGCTCTTCTGTAATACTATCATGGCTAAATAATACCAGATACATATATATTTTGACATTTTTAGGTGATGCTGTGGTCACAAGCAGAACAGCAGTACTGTTAGCTCATGTTGTGTGTGCCAGCCTTGGTAACTCACTCAGTACTGAGGCTCTGACACCCGAGAATGTTATCTTGAGATGATTTCGGGGCTTTAGTGTCCCCGCGGCCCAGTCTTTGACCAGGCCTCCACCCCCAGGAAGCAGCCCGTGACAGCTGACTAACACCCAGGTACCTCTATTTTACTGCTAGGTAACAGGTGCATAGGGTGAAAGAAACTTTGCCAATTGTTTCTCGCCGGCGCCTAGGATCGAACCCAGGACCACAGGATCACAAGTCCAGTGTGTTGTCCGCTCGGCCGACTGGCTCCCTAAAAATGTTTTAAACGGCGGCTGTTTACTAGATCCCTGAGGAAGCTGATGTGAACCCCCAGGTAGCCACGTGACATTTAAATCTTGTGCGGCACCCTTAATTGTATATACAGTGGTACCTCGCATAACGATCGCCCCAAAAGACGAACATTTTGGGTAACGAACGGCCCGATCGGCGTCAAATCGTCCCGTATGACGAACACTGGTTTGAGTAACATCAACACCACATGGTGGGGTCGCGCTGCTTCTTCACATTCTTAGACGCCTCCGACGATGTACATAAATTATGTTGTTCTTGTTTAAAGATGCTAATGATGCTGGGATATAAAAGGGTGACTGCTGAGATGTTGCAAAGCATTGACGTTTTTGTAGGAAAAAATAAATGAAATGTCTGATATACAACAAATGTCGAAAAGGTTCGTTCGGTGATCGGCAGGTTGGCTGCTCCATTATAACAATCTTTCTTTGTTTCAAATGTGTTCCATTTGTTTTGTATTTGTCATTTGTGTCTCAATAATGGAGAAGCCTACCTTACATACACTGAATAAACCATTATGACATTTTCCTTTCTTCAAATGTGTTCAATATTTATTTTTCATTTGTCTTATAGCAAAAGGTTCGTTCGGTGGTCGGCAGGTAGGCTGCTCCATCTTTCTTACATACAAAAAATGCAAATAATAAAAAAAATGAAGAATTTTGAAAACCAGTACAAATGTCAAAAAGGTTCGTTCGGTGGTCTACAGGTCGGCTGCTCCATGTTTCTTAAATAAAAAAAAAAACGAAAAATAAAAGAACTGTTGAAACAATTTGAAAAATGGACAAATGCCATAAAGGTTCGTTCAGTGTTTGTCGGGTAGGCTGCTCCATTATTGAAACGTAAGTGACAAATACAAAACAAATGGAACACATTTGAAACAAAGAAAGATTGTTATGATGGAGCAGCCTACCCAACAAAAACTGAACGAACCTTTTGCTATAACGAATATGGAAGACAAGGGCTGCTGGCTGGGTTATTACTGCGTGAGCAACCATTTGTGGCACACGTGCCTCTGGCTCTCAAACACCTGTCCCACACGGTGTTGAAAGACTGCGCTCAGTCGGTGCAATTCAGACCCTATTGTTTGAAGAACATAAGGGTCATAACATTGGTGAAGCTAGGCGCAATAAGGGCTTAACACAACGGTCGGATGCCAGTGATTCAGCACCTATGAGGATGATACAGCGAGCGTATCCAGTTGTAACTCTGAGCCCCACCCTTGCCATCTCGAATTTGTATAGATGATACATAGATGAATCGTTTTCTGCGTTCAGTGATGATGCATCTGATACAAGTAGCATAGATGAACAGTGTTAGCGGCTTCCATGGTGGTGGTGTTCATTGATATTTTCAAGAATACCTGAATCTCTTCCCGACTGATGGACACTCTTTGAGTCTAGCTGAATCTCTTCCTGACTGATGGACACTCTTTGAGGCTAGCTGAATCTCTTCCTGTATGGGACCTTACAAAGCGATCTTTTCAAGCTAGACTACCTTACAAATTGAGCTTTTCCTATAATCGTTTCAATACTACCTTATGCTTTACAAGCTTGGCTACATACCACCTACAAGTACTAAAGCCAAGGGTGTACGCGAGTGCGTTATTTGCAAGCACACAGAACGATGAAACAGGAAACGAAAATCTATCTGTAGCTGGTGCAATGAGAGCAAAGTCGCGCTGTGTACCATGGACTACTTCGTTGACTATTACGCACCTCCAAAGTACTGAGTATGTAATACAGTGTGTTACTGTGTAAATAGTATGTGAAACTGTACATATTGTAATTTTAGTGAATTTTTACCATGTAATATTGTGACAATAAACATTTATTGTGGACACATTACTGACACATGTATCACAGTTTCATGGAAAATTATGAACATTCTACTGTATACATATTGTAAAGGTCACAAATATGCATCATATACGATAAAAGAAACAAATAAAACCGCATTGGAAATACATAGAAAAAATATTTTAAAATATATTTGTGGCAACACGCGGTGCTTGAATGGCCTGCGCGACCGTGTCTGGGAGCTTCACACACGGGCGACCTGCCCCTGATGACGTCACAGCGCACCCTGTCCACGCCCTCACAGCCAAAGTAAGTGGAATTTGGTAATTATTTTTACATAGACATGTTCAGGGATGGTAATTTATCATTTTGCAAAGGAAAATGATATTTTGGGGAACATTTGATGTCATGCACTCTGGGGGAATTTCACAATAAACACAGTGCATCACACTGTTCACATGGGGGGACACTCGTTTTGTAAGACGTCCGTTTCACATGACGAACATGGAACTGATTAAATTCGTTATGCGAGGTACCACTGTATATGATGTGTACAGTTCAGCACCATTTACTCAAATTGTATACTGTATATACAATTTGCGCAGTTAAAGGTTTAAGGCTCCAAGGTCCTGACACCTTATACTCTTTTCTCATAAGCCTTCTTTAATTTATTAGAATCAAGTGTGGATAAGCTGTACAGTTTACTGTGATGAGCAAATGTCTTAATTTATTCCTAATTATATTTTTCACGCCCATCAGATGAGTTGCCATACATCGAGGTTCCTTTGCATACTGTAATGAAGCTGACGCCTGTTGCTTATGGTTGTAAGGTGGAATATGTTGCTCTCGGTGTTCCTGCTGTCAATACACATCGTGCTAAGCCAGAGGTAAGTAGTAGTTACTGAGACTGATTGAGTGAGAGAGGAAATTAGTATGGGATGAGGATAACTTTTTAGAGTACGATTCAAGGGTCTTGTAAAAGTACTTTTGAGCTTTTTCATGAGGGTAAAGTTAGCTGTTGTAACAAAAGTGTTTTCTAGGGGTAGCCCCTTCAGCTCCCTGGAGCTATCCAGGCTGATATGCTAATGTCAGACTTTGGCATCAATGATGTGTATAGAGCTCTGTGGGCCTCCAGGGGACCACGAGCCAGTACCTGGCCCCACTCAGAGAGGCATGGGGAGCAATGGCCTATAGAAATCCTCGTGAGGATGGAAGCATTCTATGTCTGCCATCGACCTGGTCAGGCATCCAGAAAAGTAAGCGTCCCAAAACAAACCCCTATTCTGGTGAAAATTGCCACAAAAAGCCGAACAAGTGGATAGAACTCCCCAAAAAGAAACAAGCAAACAAGCATGATGTCACACGTCGCGGCGCCGCTGTCTGCGCAGCTCCCCTCTCCCCTGGAGGGGGAAGTGGGAGCCTCAGACCCCTGCGCTGACCATCCACCTTTCAGTTCTAAGGCTGATGCTAGAGGCAGAGGTCATGTGCTGTAGCTCCAGTGATTTTCTAGCACTGTACTTTGTGTGTGGTGGCTGCCTTCTAGGGGTGTGCGAGCCAGGAGTTATTCTACAGTACTCGGGCTGCATGCACCTAGGGTTCCCTTCCCTTCCCTAGGTGCCCTGTAAGTACTGCCATTGGGGCTTGGGATCACCTTCCACAAGTTTTTTGGGTCATTCCTCCGCTGCCGTTTTACTGCTCAGTTTTTCGGCCACCCTTTGGGTGCTAGGGTGTTTTGTCTCCCTTGTTTACCTTAGGGTAAGAGGCAGTTTGCACTGGTAAGGGACGCAGGGTGCTGCGCAGCTTGTTTTCACAATTCATAGCAGCCGGCTCTTTTCCTTTTGGGTATGTTGTCCTCTTGCAGGGTTTTATTTTTTTTGTTGTGTTGCCTGGTGGGGGGTCTGCCTTGATTGTTGCCCACATTATACCTGATCTGAGTACGGTTCTATCTATTGGTGGTACCCCTGCTAGTTCCCTGTGAGTGGACACGTCCCTGGGGTTAAGCTTTAGAGCGTTGCTTGGTAGTTTTGGGCGCCGGGTAGCAATACCATGCCTGGGATTCCCTGAGTGTGATTTCCGTCTCAGGACCCTGGGAAATCCCACAGGGGTGCGCAGGTCCAATGGATGTGGCTCCTGAGTTTCCCCCTCACTTCGTGCGAGTTCGAGGGCTACTCTGTCCCCTTGTCTCAGGGTGACTCTCACTGTTTTTGCCTCCGTCACACTGCCTGTTGGGTCGGTGACACTTTCGACCCTGAGTCCTGCAAGCTTTGTTGCTTGCTGGTGACTCAGTTTACCTAATCTAATGATGATCTTCTGTGGGTACAGGCGGCGCAGGCGATGCATGTGCGCTTTAGGTTGTTGCAACTTGCTAGGTTGGTTGCTCACCCGGATGCCCTGGGGATGCCTTGTTTTGCTTATAGGGACCCAGACTTGGGGGTGATGGTTGCTTCGGCTTTGGTTCGGTCCACACCCCCTCGTCCTTTCCCTGCTGTGGTTCATTCTGGTCCTCCTCCTCCTCCCCTACCTCCGACCCCGAAACATCTGAGAGTTTCGAAGTTGGGGCAGGGTTTAGATGGTCTTGAGACTCAGGCAGTCTCGGGGGATGCCCCTTCTGGTGTGGCGACAGAGGCATTCGAGTCCAATCTCCTTGCCGAAGCCTCCGGGGTCTGACCAGTGCGCCCCCCTTCCGTCCGGCTTACACGGCTGCGCCGGCCTTTTCTTTTGAGGCCGGTGCTTTGGGTGTTGACTCGGCCCCGGGACTTGGGACAGGAGATGGGCAGACTTGGGGGCCTTGGGCCTCGTTGGACCCCACCTGGGGTTTTCTGCCCTCTGACTGGGGCTTACTGTTACAAGGAGTGGGGTTTTCTTTCCCCCCCCCCCCCTCTGCGTACGAATTGGATTTGGTGTCTGCTCCTCCCCTGGTTCGGGTCCGTGTCCCCCCGGGGTGCGTCTGTTCCGTCTTTCTGGAGGTTTTCGGTTTCCCGCATTCCAACCTCCTGCAGTTCGGGTGACCCTTGTGACTTACTTCCTGTGCATGCCTATGTTATGGATCCATCTTCGTTCCCCTACTGAGTCCGTTACGAGGTTCCAGAGTCTTCCTGGCTGGGGGACTGTCCTGTGTTTGCTTTGAAGGCTCAGCATTCCTTCTGTCGTTCCCGTACACTTGAGTGGCGTAAGGCTTCGACGGTGGTTCAGGTTTTCCTGGGGGAACGAGTTTGAGCACCACAATGAGTGCTTGTTTGCCCCTGCCCTCCCTCGGGATGTTGGCAGGGTGCAGCTCCATGTGCAGGTCACTTACCTTTTGGCTGTGCAGGTTGCTGAGGACTTGTTGCTTGAGGGCTCTTGGCTTCGGCTTTACGTTTCTTTTCCCTCCTGGAGCTATCTTCGGAATGGCTTGAGGAGAATGTGGGGATGCTGGGGGCCGTTCCTGGGTCCGATGCCTTGGATACGGAGGCTCGCTCATCGGCTGTCTTGTTGAAGCTGTTTGCGCCGATCCTGCGGGATGTGGTTTCCCTGTTTTATGCTTCGCGGCTCACATATCGGCAGGCGGTGCTTGCCTCCTCTTTGGGATCTGCCTGGGTCCTGGCTCTTAGGATGTCTTTGCCTTTTTGCCCCCCGCTGTTTGCTGATTCTGAAGTGGTGCGGTATTTGCAGGCTGCCTCGCCTAGTTGTGGTCCTATGTCTGACTTGTTGGTTCTTTGGGGGCCCTGGGGGGGGGGGGGGGAGCCTTCCCAAAGAGGTCATGCCAGGGCTCAGGGTCCCGTTCGTCGGGGTAGGCTGCTGGTGACAGTTTCGGGGCCAGCCCCGCCTTCAGACCTGCCTTCATCTGGTCAGTGCAGTGTTCGCTCGGTGCGAGGCTTGGGTTCTCGTAAGGAGCATCGACCCTTTCGCGGTTCGCCCTGTTGACAGGGTGATGGGGGGGGAGGCTTACGCTGTTCGCTCACACCTAGTCCCATGATTTGTGGGCGTTTCGGGTCATTTCGGTCTGCCTGCGGTGGCGTTGGGTTGCCTCGTCTCCTTCAGGGAGTTCGAGGCTGGCGGGGTAGGCCTCTTCCCCTGCACTCTGTCAGGTCGTCTTGCAGTGGGTTTGCTTGGGCGTTGGTGAAACGACGGCGTCTCTCAGATGGGTTTCTCGTCTGTTCCTAGTCCTGAAACAAGACTGTGCAGACGTGCGGTTCATTCTAGACTTGTCCCGTCTGAACCCCTGGGTTCATTACCCTCCTCCGGATAACTAAGTTGTCCCAGGTTCGGCTCCTGTTGGCACAGGGTGCTTGGATGGTGTTCCTGGACCTCCGGGACGCTTATTGTCATGTCCTGATTCATCCGGGGTTCAGGAACTGGCTCTGTTTTGTTGTGGGGCGGCAGTGTTACTACTTTCGTTGTCTCCCGTTCGGGTTGAACCTCGCGTGTTCACACGCCTTACCCGGGTCTTGGTGGCCTGTCTGCGTCTTTTAATTTAGGTGTTTGGTTGTTGGCCTACCTCGACGACTGGCTGGTATGGGCTCCCAGCTGGTCCGCTTGTCTGCTAGCCAGGGATTTGGTTCTTTCCCAGCTCGCCAGGTTCGGGTTCTTGGTTAACTGGAGGAAGTCCTGTCCCTCCCAGGTTCGGATCTGGCTGGGTCTTGTGTGGGACTCTCGGACCGCTTCCTTGTCTCTTCCTCCGGAGTCTCTCCTTCGGCTGCGGTCCCACATGCGCCTGTTTCTGGGGAGCTCCCAGGTTACCCGGCGGTTGCTCGAGGATCTGAACTTTGTAATGAAGGGCTACCCATCGGGTCAGGTTTGGCTTCGTCAGCTGTTCTGGTTCCTTCGGGGACGTCCCTTCTGCCTCTCTTGCGATTGCTGGGTTCGGCCCTAGGATGCCTTGCATCTACTGCTGCGTCGCCGGCTTCTTCTTTCCGTTTTTTTGGGATTCAGTGCCTTAGGACCTGCCTGAGCCCTCGCTCGATGTGTTCACGGACCCATCGTCTCTCGGCTGGGGCTTTGTGACCAGTGCTCACCAGGCTGGCCAGGGGTGGTGGGGTCCGTCCTTCTGTCGGGCCCACAGCATAGTGCGGGAGCTCGCACAGTGTGGTTTGTTCTTCGGAGAATTCGAGTCACCCGCGGATCGACGATCTGGCTCCGTTCGGACTGCTCCCCTGGGGTTCATTGCCTGAACCAAAGGGGGTTTGATGCGGTCCTTGGCTCTTTGGGGCTGGTCGCTTTAGGTGACTCGTCTGCTGAGTTCTCGGAGTTTGGCTCTCCTGGCGGTTCATGTTCGGGGTGTGTCCCACATCTTGGCAGACAGCCTGTCTCGTTTCGTTCCCCTGTCCACAGAATGGATGGTCGATGCCGACTCCTTCCGTTGGCTCTGCCAGACGTTCAGGCGCCCGGAGGTGGACCTCTTTGCATCGGCGGGGTCGCGGTGCCTTCTGCTGTATGTGGCGCCCTTCCCCGACTGCGAGGCCGTCGGGGTCGTTGCCTTTCGGCAGGACTGGCTGAGATGGAAGGGTTCCTGTACCTCTTTCCCCCAGTTCAGCTGTTGCTCTAGGTCCTGACTCACTTGGAGACATACCAGGGGAGAGTAGTCCTCTTGGCCCCATGGTGGTCGGCCCAGCCGTGGTTTCAGGCGCTGCTTGCTTGGTGTCTGAACCCGGAGGTTTTCCCGCGGCTCTGCCTCTTCCTGCAAATCGAACCAATGTGTTACGTGGCTGGTTCGATCTTCTCGAGTCTTTGCGTATGGTATTTGTGACTTGAGTTTATCATCATCACTATGGTGATCAGGTGGCTTCCTTGTTAGTGTCCCACCTGTGGGCTTCGTCTCGGCGGCAGTATGAAGTTTCATAGCGGTCCTTCCAGTTCTTTTTTGTCTCTTCGTCGTTGTGCTTCGCTTTCGGTTCGGGTAGTGTTGTCC